TGATTATATCTAAAATTAAGGGTGGGTTAAAAAAACCAAATTGTTGGTAAAATGACCTGGGTCCCCCTGACCTTTTTTTTAGCCCTAAAAATTTTATTTTTCCTTAAAAAATTGTTTTTTTATTTTAAATTTTTGGGTTTTTTTTTTAAAACTTTAGTCTTTATTTAATTTGTTTAAAAATCAAATTTATCAATAATCAAATTCTTTTGCTTTTAAAAATTTTTTATTTATTTGGACATTTTTTAATTAATTTTTTTATTTTTCTTATTCTTAAAAACCCTTTTTTCCTTTTTTAAATAGTTTTTTTTTTTTGAGTTCTGAAACTTGAAAACACAAAGCAAAAGCCCATTCAGGTCCCTTTTTCTTTTTCCTCCTTACAGTAGCAGTATTGCAGAGCAAAATAAAATTTTTAGCCAAAAAAAAAAAAAAACGGCCCATATAAAAGCAAAGGAAAAAAGAACAAAAATTAGAAAAAAAACCTTCAAAAAAAAACCCAAAGGAAAAAATTTGCCAATTTTTTTTTTTATGCCAGTTTTTTTTTTGTGGAAAAATTTTTTTTGGATTGGGGTTTTGGGGGCCAAACTTTTGGGGAACTCTTTTTTTTTAATTAATAGAGTTCTTGGAAAAAAAATTTTAAATCACTTTAAAAAAAAATTGTACCTTTTTTTTTTTTTTTTAAAGGCAAAAGTTTGGCAAAAAGTTTTTTTTTTTTTTTTTTTTAGTTCTTTTTTTTTAAACAATTACTTTTTTAACCCATTTAAACAACAGTTTTTTTTTTTTTTAGGAGAGGGGACTTAAAATTTTTCCATTCCAAAGTTTAACGAAATTTTGTGCCCCATTTGCTTTTTGATTTTCTTGATTTTATTTTTTTTTTTTGTATATGGTTCCTTTTGATTGTGAAAATTAAAATTTTGCCCCCCTCAAACTTTTTTTCTTTTTTTTTTTTAATGGGGATTACTTTTTCCTTTTTTTTTTTTTTGGCTTGTTCTAAATCTTTTCTTTTTTCCTACAAGAAATTTGCTTTCCCAAAAAAGTTTTTTTTTCAAAAAGTTAAAACCAAAACAAAAAAAAAAAACCACTTTTTTTGGTTCTTTTTTTTCCAAAGCCTCAGAAAAAAGGCCAGCAAATCAATACTTTTTTGCAAACTCATAAAGGGCAGCGAAAATTGGATGAAAAATTTGGCAATTCCCCTTTTTTATTTTTTTGTTTCCCATGTTTTCAATGCAAAAATTAAACGCCGTCCCCTTCCTCGTTCAAACCCCCATGGCCCAAAGCAAGTTTTTTTTTTTTTTTTTGGTAAAGATAACACAACAAAAACCCTATTATCAACCACAAGTCAGGAGCAACAAAATCAAAACTTGAAGCGGGGTTTTTTTTCTTTTTTTTGCCCAAGCCTTGTTTTTAAAAAAAAAAATGCCAGCCCTTTTTTATGTTCCTTCCCTTATATGGGGTGCACCAAATGGCCCTGTATCTTTGGGAAAATAATTGGAAAAGACCAAGACCCGAGCCCCCCAAAATAATCCGGTTAGTGTTTTGGGGTTTTTCCCTCCTTCTTTTCGTTCCACTTTTAAGATTTTGTTTCAATCTTTTTTTTTTGGGGCTTTTTTTTTTTGAAAATAAAATGAGGCTGGCTTTTTTCTTTTTTATAGGGGTACAATTCAGGGCCAAATCTTCAAGTATTTTAAAGCAACCCCAAGGCCCCTCAAAAAAAAAAACAGCTTTTTTTTTCCTCCTTGGACAGGGGTTCTTTGCGGTAAAAAATGGGTTTAACAGAAAAGGAAAAGCCCCCCTTGGGTTTTTTTCCCCAAAACCTGTGGAACCCTTTATCCCGTGCCCCTTCTTTTGTTTAATGTTTATTGTTGCTCGGTAGGCTTTTGTTATATCTTTTTTGTGATAGCTCTATTGTTACTGACCCATAGCTAATGTTAAAAGGCATATCTTCATTACCATTTTATAGCTTCTCCATTTTTATATATATACTGAGCGCTGCTCGCAACTGCCGCTTAACTCTCACTGTTTGATTCGCTCTGCAGCGGTCAGAGAGAGAGATCATTATCTGTATCATATGTTATTTTAGAGACCCGGTTTCCCTACTCTAAGACGCTCCGCAGAGTCCAGTGGCAGCAGTCTCACCAGACTTGTGAAACACCCCTGTTAAAAATCGAGTAATATATAGAAATCAGGTCCAAGTCACCAAGCAAAAAAAAAAATTAAAGAAGCCAACCTGGTTGCATATAATTTTTTTTAACGTTATACTCATCCGGTCAGCACGAAGATTGTAGGAACAAGCTTTGTCTTGATAATCTAATGTGTTTCTCGCTCATGTTTATTTTTATAATGTCTCCCTTCGCTCAGCGTCTGTTTCCTCGTACTCCGTGAAACGCGCAGGTCTTGTCCTCATCCACAGCTATACACTAGGAAGAGATAATTTAAACCCAATGCAACGACAGTTCGCTGCAGAACATCGGATTAGTGCACCAGACATTGAAAACTATTTTTTCTAGGGATCTCATTTTGATGGAGCACCTTGTGGTTGTCTCTATTTTGTCATTCCCAGCAGAGGTCATTTTCTATCTTCATAACAGAATGCGGAGGAAAGACTGTGGTGATATTAGATATAGTTGCAAAAAATAAAACCTGGCATTTCCGTTTAGGAGAGTATTTATGGGTACATTTGTTTTTAATGTTTTGGCCCCTTCTAACGATAGCATATATTTTTTTTTGTTAAGACATAAGCGCTACCAAAACACCATATGCAGAAAGTCGAACTCTAACAGCGTAGAGGAGTACGCGCCCGCAAATCGAACACTTGGAATTATAAGAGATGCGTTTAATACAGTATCGCCTTATTCCACGAAAATTTATTCTCCACAGAATACACATCTTTATTTAGCGTGCAAATTTTTCCCACACGTTACTCCGAAGAGGCTTCTTCGTTCCTCTCTTCTTCCATACTTCCGGTTTATATGGGGTGGATCAGCACCGCTCACCTACTGTACCGGAGGTATGTATCTCATGAGTTATTTGTATATGAGAGGCTACTTTACATGCTCACAGTAAATTTAAAATAACAAAAATAAAAATATACAGTTGTTATTAATAACAGTAGTTTAATAATAATTAAATCCATATATAGAGTTACCCCTATAATATTAATCCTATATTCGAGTCCACAGACCACAGTATGGAGTGTGGACTGTAGCTGGTAATGAGGGCCTGTGTCGCCGGTCCTGTGGCACTGCCCTTGCAGCAAGCACCTAACAACCAACTGCTCCCCGGGCGCCCACAGCTGCCCACTGCTTAATGTATATTTATTGTATGTATAATAGGTATGGGTTCATAAATGCAGAGGACAACAGTTTCATTTCATGTATGTAAAATGCTGTAAATGCTGTATATATACTGTGAAAATGACAATAAAGACTTTATCTTATATCCTTTAAATATTCCACAGCAGCTTTCTGTGTATCCTTGCTCCCAATACGCCCTCAATGTTCTTATCTTTAGATTTAGCCTCATCCTCTCTTCCCTATATATTTAACACTGTAACAATGTATGTTCTTTGCTCTCTGATTAGACAAACATTTAGACCAACCATGATGCCTCATATAATGTACTCATCCACACTCATTTGGCATTAACCAGCCTTTATTCATTATCCAGGTCCGTGTCATACCTCTGTGGGGGTGCAGGCATCTCCAAAACTCCCCTGTCCATGTACAACTGATCAGAACAAGGTCATAACTTACTAAATAACAATGGATAAAACTATAACAGCATTTGGCAACAACAGCCATATCAACATAAATACCTGTAAGCAAAATAACATTTTCAAAATAAAATCCACTGTCTCTGTAAGTTTTGTACAATAAGGTACATTGGAGCTGGTAAACTGACAACAGAAGAGGTGTTGTTGATGGTCAGTAGAATAATGCAATATGCATTATTTCACTTCCGGCTAGAAAACATCTGTCAAGTGCTCATGGTTACTCTCAATTGCAACAGTATATAATTGCAATAGTGTAAAGCAGTGGGGTTTTCTTCATGCAGTTTAAATGAATCAAGTTTTAATGCAATTTCGATCACAAAGTTCTGCATAATTCAACTGAGTGCTGTAAAACCAAGAACACGCGCTTTTCATAAATAAAAACCCACGTCTGAAGGGTTAGATCGAACCACTACAGTGCTGCATATAACCTGCAGAAATGTCTTAAACATCTGTACATATGTTGGAGTTATAGAATAATGTGATGCAGCACTTCTGAAGTCCACGGTTTGTGAACCACTGAAGAACAACAGAAATCACATTATATGAGACATCACTGTAATACAAATGCCAGATATGTACTTTTTAAAGACCTGTGCTTGTTGTAGAGAGTGATATGTTGTATATTGATGTGATCGAAGAAGGAGAGACAGTGGGAGGGAACAAGACAACAAAGTAAGTGCTTTGACTTTAACAGCTGTTATTCTGCAGTGCAGTTTAGGTCCAGAGAAATATGTTAACAGCCAAAGACTCTGACAAACCTGATGGTCTAATCAGAGCTACACTAGGCAATGTCACATGTAGGCGGCTCCAAATGGCAGCGACATATACAGTAATATTCTTAAAAACATATTTTCAAGGAACATTTTTTAGGAAATCTTTTCACATTTTGTAATCTCCAACAGCACAATCAAACACTTGCTGCTGCTGTTACCATTAGTTTAAATTCGTGATCTCTTTTAGGAGAACTGACCAGACTTTAAAAAAAAATCAGTAAGTAATATTTTGCCTAGTGTAGCCTTAAAGGATAAGGTTGCATTATTATTTGTTATTGCTTATTGTCAACAAATCCCATGAAAAGACCGAAAACAACAATGTGCCTGTTTCTCAGCATTTTCAGATTTTCAGCCCCAAGCACATTTGTTCCTCCTGAACACATATCCTTAAAATATATACTTTTATTTTTTATTTTTTTTAATGAAGGAACATGTCAGCCAGTGCAACAGTGTGGTTCACTGATGTGTTTCTAGCTTTATGACCAGAATATGACACAAAAAGTTTTGGCTACACAGACAATACTTGTTAGAAGGATTCATTTGTTGTTGTTTTTGGTCTTTGTAAGGAATTTGTTGACAGTAAGCAGTAAACGGTGACAGCCTTAACTTTTAACGGACAAACTGATAAAATCAAATGAAAGCACAAAATGACAACGATAAATATGTGTCCCACATCATCTTTCTAGAGACTTTTGCACACATCTTATTTCTAAGGACACAAGTTAAATAACTCAGTTGTACACTTCCTGATGCTACAACTGGTACAACAGTGTTTTCTGCACACTGGCTACGATGTAAGACAGAAAGCAATATCTTTAATGTTTTTGGCTGTGACGTGGCCGTGCAAAGTGTGTGATTCTAGTAACGCTAAAGGAGAGGGGGAACTGCTATAAAACAAACTAGAGTAGCACTGGCACTTGGACATTTATCATCTTAACAGTGACTAAGCACAAAACAAAGGGCTGTTGTTCCAGTTTGTGTTGGTATTTTTCTTTGTGTGGTGCTATCATCATTATCCCCTTCAGTCTTTTGGTTTCCTCCAGTTAGAGAAGTCCGCTTAGGTCTCAACCTTCCCATACGTCCCCTCTGGGGGGCGATACTGTTTGGGGAAGGCCTTGAGCTGGAGAGAGTTAAAGGCGTATTTACGACATCCCACATTCTTCATGGTGTTCTCTCTCCTGCAGCCCTCACTGTGGAGAAACAGAAGCTATAAATTATTCATTTTCATCCAATATGCTTCTGATGCAGGGGTAATAAATATCTGTGAGATTTATGACTTTCTTCATCATTAGCTGACCTGCGCATACAGTCCAAGGCCTGGTAGAAGACCTGTGGGGCGAGGGCGTGCTCCTGCTGCAAGATCTGACACTGCTCCAGGGTCAGAGACATGGCTGTACGGTCCTTGGCGCTCTTACAGCTGGTGAAACGCACTCCGTTCAGGCGGCGACATGCCTTTAGGGATTCAGAGAAAGAGATTAGAAGAGAAAGACAGGGTTTTTAAATTTGGAGGGGGCTGCACAGAGAAGACACGGGGAGCAAGTCTACCTCGGCTGCTTGCCACAAAATCTCCACGTTCTTGCTTTTCTTGGCATTCACATTCTGGCTCAGCAGTTTAAGCAGCTCGGGCAGACTGGTGGTACTGCGGGAGCGAGGCAGGCCTGAGGATAGAGCAGAGGAACGATGAGGTGAGTTAAATATGAAGACACGCATTTTCCCTTCTGATTAAAGTATGTAAACTCACAGTCTTCTGGCAGGACTTCTTTAAACTGGTCGTAGTATGAGCTGAGGCGTGTCATGCTCTCCATGTTGATCACCTCTTGTAGTGACGTGTCTCCAAACCTGGACACACGTCAGATATTTGAGTTAAAATCTTCACTTGTCCTGTAATAATTCTACAATAATTAGATCTAAAAATTGCCCTCAACCTTTCCTGTCTTATCTTATCTCAGCGACTCACTTCTCAGCCAGCGTCTGCTGTTCGTTGATCCCCACGTTGAACAGAACGGGCTGCACACGCAGCAGCATCCCGTTCTGGATCTCTCGTGGCAACGTATCGAACATCACCCCGGGCATCGGAACCCTGACGTTGAAGCCGTTCCTGTTTCCTGTGATCACCGGCAGCATGTCCGGGGCGAAACCTGAAGTTGCCTGGGTAACTTTAAAGGTGACATTTCTCAGGTCCATCACTCCGACACTCATGTCCTCCAGCATGGCCAGCTCCTCACCTTCAAGAAACAAGGAGTCATCACAGAGGTTCGTGGCAATAATAATTCATCCAGATATCTGAGATAACAGGTCAGTTTTCACAACCCAAATTTATAACAATATCCTCTACAAGTAACACAAACAACACTGACAGCAGTACCTAAACTACAGATGTTACAGTTTTGTTCCTTTATGTTTGCTTGTTTGAACTGGCAGGATATCTCAAAAATGCTGAACAGGGCTAAGGAAGGTTTTAATGCAGCACCAATAGCACCAAATCATTGACAATAAAAAAGAACCTTGAACTCCTGATCTGTGTAGGCATAAAAAAATCTTTGGGCCATTGCAATGTCCTCTCAATCTTAAACAAATCTGCAATCCAGATCATTTTGATTCAGTTTCATTCAGTGATAGCCTTTTCATATGGAAGGTGCACCAGCAACATGGTTTATTTAAATTATCACGTTTAAGTGGTCATTACTTGAAATTGTGCACAAAAAACATGTTCCCTGACAGGATTTAGGGTAAATCAGACTGTCTAGATTTAGGCTTAGGCTTTCTATTTTCTTTGTGATGATGAATGCCCAAATAAAGCACACACGCACACAAACACTCTGACACACATCCTCACACACAAGTTACCGTAGGTGCTGAGCAGGCCCTCATACTGCACCAGTAAGCCAATGGTGTGTAGCTGCCTGAGGAAGCCTGAGTCACAGAGAGAGTTCCTCAGCTTGATAATGAAGCCACAGATCAGCGCCGTCAACTGCAAACAGCACAGCTCATATCAGTACAGCGATGACCGTTTTTAATTACCATATCTTATCTATCTTATCAATCATGTTACGCACCCTGTATAATGACATGTAATTATTCTAAACTACATAATAAGACAGAATAGCTAGAAGGGGGAGGTAGAAATTGACGGACCGTCTGGCAGAAGACAACATCGCGTCGGTACTGCAGGGTGAGGCTCATGGCGATGGTGGGGGCGCTGTCCTGCATCAGCAGAAACACCATGGCTTTCTTGGCTTTGTCGCTCATTAGAGACGCACAGTCAGTCAGCGTGGTGAGGAGAGGGTACAGAGCGTCGCTCCACTCACCTGCAGACACACAGGTTAAACACATTATACACACACACAGGGTATAATCTCACATTTGTGGTAATGATATTTTGCAGATATCCTTGAATTAAAAAAAATATTTCAAATTCTGGTTTGAAACAGTTTTGGTTGAAAGATCTTTTACAAAAAAGAAAAAGTACAGTTGGTCCTATTCTGAAAAATGTTTTACATGTAACTAATACAAAAAACAATGCTGTATTTTAACATTTCAAACAATAATCAAATGGCAGGAATACATGTATCTTCGCACATGGAATCATTTGTTAAGGAAACACTGTTCTCACCTGGGGATGTCTTTTCTACCTCTGGGCTGCTATCTACGAGTGAGAGAAAGTAAAGGATGTTTAGATGAGGACTTAATTCAACTTCTGCTTGTAACTCAACATTATATTGCAGATTGTAAACATCCAGCAACACTGAGGCAGGTAACATGATGAACAAGAATAAACCTACAGATGTGATCAATAGGATATGAAAGGCATGCAGGAGTCTGGCGAGAGAATGATGATGATGATGGTTGATGATTTTGATGCGAAGATGGTGATGATAATAGAGGATGACATGATGGCTGCAGTGAAGATGATGATGGTAAATCCGTGTCTTTATGTTCAGGATGTATCCAGAAAGCTTCTTGGTTACTATGAATACCTCATGAGAGTGACACATTCGTATTACCCTTCTGATCTTTGTACTCAGCAATGAGCTCAATCAATACATTGGTGAATGATTGTGCCTCTTTTACAGACCACACAGCCAAAAAGCTTCTGTTTGTGTGTGTTTGTGTGTGTGTGTGTATACCTTTCTTAGCATTACTCGGCTCCTCGGTGGCGAGCAGGAATACATCCTCAGAGCTACTGTCGCTCTGGAGTTTGTCTTTCTGCAGCAGCCTGTCCACCCTCTGGATCACACACTCCAGGCTCTTATCAACATTTAGCCAAACCTTCTCCTGCACACAAACACACACATTATAAATGGAGTTACCATAAAAACCACATAAACACACATTAAATTCATTAATGCACTCTTCTCTTACCCACTCATCCTCGTGCAGATCTGCCTGAAAGGAGGTGCGCTTGTTTTTACTCCCTTCGCTGCCCTCCGGAGGAGTTGCATGACGAGAAGGCGAGGTGGCAGCACGAGATGGAGAGGTCGGGTGGCGGGAAGGGGAGCGCGATGGGGAACAAGAGGAGGGGGAGAGGGAGGAGGAGGATGGGGATGGGGTGCCTTGCTGAGTGAACTCTGGGCGGGCGGCTGCCAGAGCGAGGATGGCTGAGGACAGCAACTTGGAGTCGCACACAGTCACCAACTGCCGAGTCTGCCGGAGGACGGAGAGAAGCCAGAGAGAGGCCGGGGAGAAAGTGGAAAAATGTGGTTATACTGTAAGCATGAAATTATCACGGACTTGGGGCAAAAAAAAAATGCTCTTTAAAGTTTATAAACCATGAGATTAAAAATGAGGGAGAAAAGGCTTGTGATGCTTTTTGGACCTTTTCTCTTTTTCCCATTGTGTTAGTTTGGCAAAATGTCTTTTTTTAAAAAGCATAAAACAACTGACCATGTAATTGTGTCTATTTTTATGGTCTATTACTGTATACCTGTATATCTCACTGCTGCAACAACAACAATTAAACATAATCAGTGGGACCAAAAAGCCATTATTACCAATTTAAATTTATTTTAAAAAATAAAGGAGAAACTATGGTGGCCATGAAAGTCACGAAAAATGCTAAAGGCCCTTTCTAGAGCCAGTGTTTGTTTGTCCGTTCTGGGCTACTGTAGAAACATGGTGGTTGAACATGGTAGACTCCCCTGAAGAGGAACCGCTCCTTCATAATGAATA